GCTATATATATATATATATATATATATATATATATATATATATATATATATGGTGATTGAAAATTAACTCTCTATTCCATGCATGAGTGACCAGCCAGGAGTCTTGACTTAACACCCTGTGACTTTTTTTCTTTGGAGTTGGTTAAAAGAGCAAGTCTGCTATACCAAACCAAGACTTTGGAAGATCATGAAGAGCGAATACAAGAAATTATATCTTCCATGCCACAAGAGTTCCTGGTGAAATCAGTTGACGCGATCCTGGACGCCTCAAGAAGCTGCTAGCGAAATCTGATGCTCATATCGAATTTTAAATAAAATCTTATGCTAAACGCTTTACTCTCCTATCTATTTCTTGTGAAAATTATAGTTAATAAATAAATTTTAAGTATTTAAAAATGGTGAGTTACGAGTTACTTTCCAATCACCCTGTGTATATATATATATATATATATATGTGTGTGTGTGTGTGTGTGTACGCGTGTGTGTTTATGTATGTGTGTGCGTGTGTGTCTGTGTGTATGTTCCAAGTAGCCATTACACATGACGTCACGCTAGACTATTTCAAACTTCCAGCAGCCCAAATATCAGGAAAGAGACAAAGAAATTTTAACTACCACAAAGACACCACATTAGTTCTTGATAATGACTGCGATAGCCGAAAGTACTTGAACAAAAATAACAAAATATGAATTTCGGACAATTTATCCACAACCTCGAGCACAATTCTCCAAATATTAGAAAAATAGGATAAAACTTATACAGACAGACCTGGTCCATTATTTTTGATCAAATATATATTCTTTAAAGAATTAATAGATGTATTTGTATTACTTCAAACGTTATTTTAAGTAGATGGCCATATTTGTGTAGACGCTCCGTTTTATATTAAATTTATATTTATTTATTTCATCTACCGAACTGCATAATATGTACACTCAGTAAAGGTCGAATTTTGCCGGGGGTGGGGAGGCAGATTTTTCTTATTATGTTCTGTCGAGTACACAGGACGGTAAACGAAATAAATACTGTTTAAAATAAAACAGAGCGTCTACTAAAATACGACTATGCACTACAAGAAACGTTTGAAGTAAAACACACACACACACACACACATATATATATATATATATATAGATAGATAGATAGATATATGTATATGCGTATGTGTGTGTGTTTGTGGTATATTTTGCCTGTAAGTATTCAACCAAGTAAATTTGACAAAAATGAACCGGCAAGAACTGATTTTTTATTATGTATTATTATAAAAATCTAATAAAATATTAAGCAGACCTTGTCGATTCTCTTTAATCAAATTTGTTTGTCCCTCTCACTTTCTCTCTCTCTCTCTCTCTCTCTCTATATATATATATATATATATATATATGGAAGAGATTATAGTTTTTCGAACGAGAGAAAAATGTTTATTTTAAAAAGAAGAGAGAAACCGCAAACGTTTTTGGTTGTAATGTGGATTTTTTAAAATATATATTATATTTTATTTTACATAATTTTGCTACACGAGTTTCCGGGTTCGTGAACGTCTTCGGGCAAAGTTCGGATATTTCCACATATTATTAAAATGAATTTATTTTCCTTATGGTTTTCAATGTTAAACATTCTCTTTTTGGGGGTAGTAGTGACACAAATATCTTTCTTGGACTGGTGGTAAGAAAGTTCTTTTGCTTAAAGGGTAATAAAACAATTAAGATTGGTACAAGAAAGGGTGTGAAAAGATATCTGTATTCTTATTTTTTAATGACTCCTGTATGTTCTTAGATATATTTTCATTTTTGTGTATTGAGTGTGCGTTTTTGCTAGTATGTGTATGCATATTCCTCTCCATACATACATACAGTCTTATAAGGAATTAATATATATATATATATATATATATATATATATATATATATATATATATATATATAGTTGTATATTTAGGCAGAAATCCTCCCTTTATGCATGTTTCATTAAAAACGACAGATAAGGTACTACGGTTAAGCTTTTTATTTAATTTTTGTTCGAACAAGCGCTTTCTTTTCTGGACAAAGGGTGTGTAAGAACTGCCAAATGTTTTATATTTCCGAGCGCTTTAATAAAAAAAATTAAAAAAAAACTTTCTAAATAGAGCACACCAGAATTCATCCTCTCGACTACTCTTCCTCAAAGAACTTAATAATGTTAAACAAACACTAATCAACAACGGCTTCCCTAACTACCTTATAGACCACCAAATTAGACTATTTCTCCCCAAAGCAAGTAATAACGATAGTGAACTGTTATACTGGAACATACCTATTCTGTTGTTAATAGACTCTTCCACACATAATGAGTAGTAGTATCAGTCGCCAGGGGGATCAGTGGAGTCGGTGTGTCTGTCGATGTCGGACATTAAGGTATCAATCGCCACAACTAGATTGCTGCGTCATTAACTCTTATTTCAAGTTCCTAACGTTTTGTATGTCGGACCCTTTTAGGACCGACTTAGTGAATTACAAGCCTCACCTGTGAAAACTACTCTACAACATGAACACACAGCCAAAAATCACATATACATTTATTACAAAAACCAGATGCATATTAATTACAAACAAGACGAATCTTCTCTAAGGCATATTATAAAGAAATATACTACTCCAATTGACACGAATAAAAAATCAAATTAATTATCTATGATAAAAAATTTAAGACAGCTAACCTTATCCTCAAAAATAACAACACACCAGCTAAGTCAAAATTACAAAGAACGAACATTATCTATGAGTTCAAATGCCCCTTAAAGAACTGTGTTCCTGATCAAACTGGACTCATAAATAATTACATCGGTTACACAACTACATGCTTATCCAGACGTCTTACATTACACCTATCTGATTACAGCTCGAGTAGAACCCATTTAAACACATACAAAAATTTACCAGACTCCATTAGGAACATACTAGTAGAAAACACAAATATATTAACTGCATCCACCTGCAAAAAAAGACTAAAAATAATGGAAGCTTTAATAATAAAATACAAAAAGCCAACTCTTAACCATATTAACTAAGAACAAAGCCACAATGTGCTAACCGTATTCGGAAATTAAAAACATCCCTACCACACACTACGCACACATAATGGCTAAAGGTATAGCCGAAAGCGCTCGGAAATATAAAACATTTGGACAGTTTTTACACACCCTTTGTCCATAAAAGAAAGCTCTTGTTAGAACACAAGAAAAATTAAATAAAAAGCTTAACCGTAGTACCTTGTCTGTCGTTTTTAATGAAACATGCATATATATATATATATATATATATATATATATATATATATATATATATATATATATATATATATATATATCCTATTAGGATAATTTACCCATGCACGCATAAACTCCTCCAGCTATCAATAGGAGCAGGTACTGCCTTTTGGGGAGGGAAGTTTCCAGCAGAAGGTCAAGCTCCCACTGTCTATAAAATGCTTCCGTGGTATGCGTCTCAAATACCCATTGACAACTCCAAACGGGACAATGAGCGAAAACGGGCATCCAGCTGCTTCGATTAGAAGGAGCTTGACGGCCCAGGAGGAAGGAAATCCCCGATTTTAAACCTCCGCTGACTTGCGGTCATATTCAAACACGGAAACGGCTATAGAAGTAAATCCAGATAGAAAATACGAAGTGGAGCCCCGAAAACTGTCGACTGTCAGGCAACTTTTTCAATGAAGCAGGTCCCAAATGGAATGCCCTATATTCATTTGGATCTTGTCGGTACAGCTAAGATGGAGTGAGGCATGCAGTCTGGGCAGCAGACGACCTGCGCCCTGGAAAGATCACTCCAGCAAAAAGACTGTAATTTGATCAAGGAAGACGCTACCGTTATACCACGAGGGTACATGAAAGTATATCACAGTAATATACTTTCATAATTTCTACACTTCTCCAAAAAATTCCCTTACAACTTTCTAGTTCATTTTTTAAGTGACGGCGTCGGTGGTTATGGCTCTCCACAAATCCCTTTTCTTTATTATTTGGGAATTTCCCCGAGGTTTTGGGGATGACAATGGAGTGATTTCCCTTTGTTTTCTCCATGTTTTTTAACTTTAGAGTTGTCATTAATCTAAACTGAATGTCAACCAAAGCTAAAGAGCCCGGTCTACCTTGCTATTTAACCTACAACGGGTGGATAAACAGGAGCATCTGATTTGGCCAGAACTTGAACTTGTCTCTTTGATTCCCCTTTTCATGCTAATAACCGTTACGGCAACTGTTGCGGATTTTAAAGAACCGGACAGGGGCAAACAGTAAAAACGTTTGGTGCTTATCTCTTCCGAGTGGGTAAGAATAATTTTCATGAATTTTACATCAGTGCACATAGCATATTTTCTGATATCATAACCTCCGTAGGAGGGGGGTGGACAAAATCCTAAGAATTTCACGTCTAGTCATTTTATAGCGGGTTAATGTACATACGCGTTGAGTGGGGAAGGTCTTCTATATTTTATTTATGGACTTCAAATCCGTTTTTTTTTCTGTTTTTTTTTAGGTGGGGGATGAATTCGTTGATATCAAGAAGAGAATCAGGTTTGCACAGTTCCCGGTGTGCGATAGTTCCTACTCAGTCTTTTGAGTCTGGTTGCTGCATTCATTCTTGTTGTTATTCTTGCCTTAGGTTGCTGCTTCGATTACTGAAGACGATTTTTCATTTACTTCCTTACTTTTCCTACAACTAAACAATCAGATCGAAACAAACTTTAATATTTTATATTAAAATTTTGATACTTATTCTCAACTGACAGTAGGTATGTTGACGTGTTTGACAACGTGATGGCAGATCTAATGTTGTTATATGGAGACTTTGTCTGTAAAAAATATATTAATTCCTTATCCTTTAAGAAGTAGGATGTTTATGTTATGGATTTTTATGACAGGTCACCCTATGAGTAATATGCCACCCAGTACTACTTGTTGCATGGTTGGGTAATCGTCGACTAAACTGGTTTCCAACTTACGGACACATCATTTTGAAACACAGTTCCCGTACGATCTCCGAAGTAAAGCAACGTCGAGCCAGATCAGTACCTAGATGGGTGACCACTTTGGAATACCAGGTGTTGTAAGTTTGGATAGGCGGATGGTGTGACGGATAATGGCTCGGAATTGTTACTCGGAGAGCAGAGTTTTAATTCCACTTGGGTTCGTTTTGTACATTTCCGCGCAAATATTTTTAGAAAAGATGTCAACCTATTCTTCCCTGATTTATGGGTTAATTAGTAAAAATTGTATCGCTAAAACATTATTTTCTTAAAAAAAAATCTTACAGTATAACAATATTTTCTATCTTTAAATAACTTGGTTCTCGCACCTGGCTTTTCCGGTTAGTAGTGTGCCTAGACAAATAGCAGGGTTAAAAAGAAGATCTGTCAAAAGTTGGAGGAATCACCTTGTTGTATGAACGACCAGCTAAACTAAGGGAGCCAAATGGGATCTATAGCAATGTATAGGGTGACCCAAAAAAATGAGAACTTTTAACAATCCAATAAAAACAAGAGTGATGGAAGAAAAATATTTTATTCATAGTAATTGAAACCTTAAAATATGCCATTTAAGAAACAATAATGGAATTTTCATTTTTTAAAAATTACGTCCTGTAGGTGGCGTCCTCCTGTACGAAAGCATTCTTGAAATCTGCTGTTGAGATTCCTCATTGACTGCTGCAACATCTCAACTGGGACACTAAATGGCGAAATGTTTACTTGCTCAAGGTCACTGTCTCGCAGTGTTGCTACTTGCTCATGTCTGGCGATACGCACTTAAAAAATTCCCGTTTTTTTTGGGGGGGGAGGGGTCACGCTGTATGTTGCCAGTGTGGTGGTGACAAAGCGTCGCTAGGCTGAGGCCTTTCTAGACTGAAGATAACAGCGTAGAGGGTTTCCCCCGACGATGGTCTCTAGAGCCACGACCCAGTGATCAAAACAAGTCTTTAACTTGAAGAGGTATGGGATACGAGAGTTCTACGTATCCAAGACACGCTACACATGGGTGAATAACTCTCTGGCTTTCGATCTAGATATGTAGAAGGAACTGGTCAAGTGTTTAATTGTACCGTGACCGTACGCCCACACCTAGTCATAGTGCATAATGATGATGTTATGGATTTGTACTTAAAATGTAACAACGTACATGATTTCTATTTCCGACGATAAAGTGAATATCTGAATATTAACAAAATCTAGGCCGTTTTCATCTTTTGTCATTGATGTCTTAAATGTGTCGTCTTGGCTAAATCCAGTGAAAGCAATAATTTTTTTTCATTTTTTATGTTCTATTTTTTCTCTTAATCAGCATGAATTAACCTAAATGTTATCATCGGCATCATCTCAGCAAAAATGAAAAAAATACCGGCTTAAATGAATATTTTGAGCCTTTCAACCCATTAGGCGACTATGTAGATCTGTAGTTATTCTTTGAAATTGTCACAAGTCTATTTCTGTCACTGACAAGAGTAGTTTGATTTGCCCTGATAAACAAACGTTCATGTTCGATACCTCGAGTAATGGTTGATTGAGTTTTCTGAGTTCTCGATACTGGTTTTAAACGGATGAATTTCATGTTCATTGACCTTGATTTCTAAGCATGTACCCACTGAATAAAATGGGATAAAAAGCAAACACTAAACAAAAAAAAAAAAAAAAAACACACCTCAGTTTTAAAATGAATTTTTAAAAATGAAAAATCTTTTTTGAATCTTTTATTTTAGTTTTAATTTCAAGCCAATAGATTAAATTTTATAGTTCCAGTGAGCAAAATACTGTATTTCAAAAATTATTTAGATTGACTAGAAAGAATTTCTTTTTTAGCTAAACTAGCTGATTAGCTCCCTTTTTAGTCGTTTTCATCATCTTATTAAAAACATCTTCAAAAATAAAATATATTTTTCAGAAACATTATTTGAGGAATATTACTTGATTTAAGACTCAATTAATCTAATTTGAAATAAATAATTAAGTTTAAAATATCACAGAAATACATTTTTGACCCACAGTAGCTGTATTGACGTGTTTGACAACTTGATGACTGATCTAATGTTGTTCTATAGAGACTTTATGCGTAAAACATAATTGAAGAAAATGACGTGCTTCAAGTATTCAGTAATCTTAAAAATTTTGGAAAATATTCTAATCTAATGTTTTGTTGAATTTTCGAAATTTTGGTTTTAAATTTACTATAGTCATTGCTATTATTTTCTTATAATGTTGTGTATGATAGCTCCTACCTACAAAAAACGGTTGTCCTGGTATGCCGATAAACTACATCCGCATCCTGGGTATGATGGTAAATTACATCCAACATCAAGGCCTCTGATAATACGTTTTTGAAAAAATAATGTTGCCAGCTCTACGTTTTTGAAAAAATATTACCAGCTATATCTTTTTTTTTTTAAAGAATAGTTTTGCTGGCTATACGTTTTTGGAAAAATAATATTATCAGCTATATGTTTTTGAAAAAAATAATATTACCAGCTATACATTATTGAGGACAAAAATATTAACAGAAATAGTTTTGACAAAACAAAAGTATTTCCAGGAAAAAAAAGTTGTTGGCATTAAATGACCCATTAAGGTTGATGTGCCATAAAACAAACCAAACGAAACAAAAAACGGCACGTTTATACACTAATAAAAATTCAAAATCATTTTAAAAATATTGGTGTTTGATGATTTGTATTAAGCTTTTCCATTTATGATTAGTAAATATAGTTTTCACTTAATAATAATATCATTAAAACCGCTGAAATTAATACAGAATTTTAAAAGATTTAAACGACCCAGATTAGACTTTTGGTAAATAATGTTTCTGTTTAGCAAAGACAAATTGATAATTAAAATTCTCCAAGGAGTCCTGCTTTTAACCAATATAAATATAAAGACTCTTGAATATTAATTTCTTGAAATTTCATAAAATTGGGTAAGTTGGAGTAACACATGTAAAAAAATATTTTACCAAGTTTTTCTAAAAAAAAAATATATATATATATCAAAAATAATTTCATATCATTTGTGAATAAGTCCTGAAAATTTCATTAACATTTAATAGTTATTTGTTTTTTTTGCAAGAATTTTCAAAACAATGTGTTTTTTATCGCTGAAATTCCCACACCTTGGTACAAGAAAACATTTTTTCATCAAAATTTCGAACGTGCTAAAAAGGATTAATACTTTGGTCATTCCTCTTAATAATAACAAACATTTTGACGATAAAACTTTTTTTTTTATCAAGTTTGGAGTTTTTTTGCATCATGCTGTGCCATTTTTAGAAACTTTTTACGGATACCTACAGTTGTAGATGCTTTTAGAGGTGAGAGAATTAAAATGTCATTTAAAATAAATAAAAGAACTGCCCTTGCAGTAATAGAGGTTAACGTGATAGTTTCGGAGTATCAATACAATTTTAAACAGTGACAATCGAACTCGGTCACATCAATATTAATTAGTATAATTCAATGGTTTAGCCTGTTCACCGACTCTTATCCTTAAATAATGTCAAGTGGTCGGGAGCAGAATGTTTGCAACTATTTATGTGTGTGGAAGTAGTAATGCTATAGCGTTAGTATTTGAATAAATAAATAAGTATTAAACTATTTTTTCCAATAATTCTTTTTCCTATGAAACATTGGCATCAAAATAAAACATTCAACGGCACTCATTGATACATTTTGAATTTCAATACAAAAGTCATATCCCACATTAGCTAAAAAGGCTTTATCAGTTTTATTGCAATTTTTTATGTGAAGTAGACGCCTCAACACTAATTAATATCAAAAATCAAAAAGTGAGAAACACTACGCTCAAATGAAGAAGAAATGGGGGTCTGATTATCGCACATTCGAGCAAAGATTGAAGAAATCACGAAAAAAAAAAAAAAAAAAAAAAAACACCAGTCACAGGTTTCACACTAATTAAGCTGCACAAATAGTTGAATAGAAACATTGAAATAAAATAAATTCATATTTGTGTCTATTTTTTAATCTATGGTTTTATCTTATAACATTTAAATGTATAGACTTTAAAAAAAATTGCTAAGTGTGCCGTGATATTTTCTTTTGATCCTAGGTGTGATGTTGCTTAAAATGGTTGAGAAATATTGCTCTAAACTGTCATAATCTTTGCAATTTAACAAAATTTTAAAGTTATAAAACCGAGAACAATTGAAATAATAATATGTCGGCATCCGAACAGAGAATATAGTCTCTTTTTAAACTGAAGTTTTAATTTTTATTTTCACATTAAAATAATCCATTTACAGATTTCATGATAGAACCCAGATGTTACCTGTCCCCACAACCTTTTAGAATATTTCTTTCTTGCCCTACGCACGTTTGCGAAATGTTCTTTTCAACGCAAACGTTCACGTTGAAGGCTTGTTTGAAATTTCGAACCAAACCCTTTATTTAATCCACAGCGAGTAGATTGTTCTTATTCTGCTTTTCTATGTTTAGGAGATCTTTGTGTCACAAATGTGAATAAGACCGGATAGTATTAACTGATGTGAGTTATCTCCCTTAACTAAGGAAAAGGGAATGAGAACAATTTGCCGTCTTAGACTGAATAAAGGGTTCAGTTTAAAATTCCGAAAAGACTGCTGAGTATGATGACAGACATCTGAAGAAGACCAGAGGGTACAACAGCCGAAGCATTGTGGGCAAAACAGCCAAGATGAGCGTGTTTTATTTTGAAATCACTTCCATTTTCATTGACTTCTGAATAGATTTTCCTTCGTCTTTTTTTTGTTATATTTTATGTTATATTATTATATTATATTTATCTGATAACTCTAGATGTAGTTCTATTCTCTTGGCGCATGGACGAGAACTCAAAACATCTATATTTAATTATACAAAGAACCAAGCATTTCTGATTTTGTCAAAAGGCCTTGTTAGTAAATTAGGGTTATTTTTATATATTTTTTTAGAATAGTCAATTTTTCTAGAAGGCAGAAATTACATCTTTCACTTTTCCCATTGTAAGATTTCGTTCTAACCATTAATTCCCACGTAATGTTTGGTACAATTCCATCATCTTTTATTTGTCAGTAATATTTAGAGCAGTAATATTTGCTA